TATTTAAGTTAAAATATTTCCCCTTTGCCAGACTCCGCTGAAAGATCACTTTGATTGCTTTAACTTCAATCCTTGATAAAGTAACCCAAAATACTATGATCAAAAAGAGGTAAAAGTTTTTCAACGTCCAGTGAAATTATTATTTTTTTCTTTTAAGCTTAAGAATGATGTCTCTAGGGTAAAAGGACTTGAGGAGATGGACTTTAGTCCATAAATCAAGGACAAGATAAAAATGTGATTCAGATGTAAGCAAAGGACTACTAAGAAGGAAGAACTGGAATTATAAACATTGTGACCACCAGCCTAATATTGAGTAGGTCCCCCTTTTGCCGCCAAAACAGACCTGACCCGTTGAGGCATGGACTCCACTAGACCTCTATAGATATGCTGTGGTACCTGACACCAAGCTATTTGAGCTACTGTAGCTCTTCGACTAGATCGAACTATATGGTATATATACTTTGCAACCCATGTGCCTCAATGAGCCTTTGCCCGCCCATGACCCAGTTGCTGATTCACCAGTTTTCCATCCATGGACCACTTTTGGTCGGTCCTGACCACTGCAGACCGGAGACATCCCACAGTTTTGGAGCTGTTTTGGAGCTGCTCTGACCCAGTGGTCTAGCCATCACAATTTGGCCCTTGTCAAAGTCCCTCAAATACTTTTTTTCTACTCCCAACACATCAACTTCATGGGCAAAATTTCCTAATTTATCCTAATTATATATTTATAATGTGCATACCTAGTGCCCAACCTGTGGTCTATGGCAGGCTTTCTCAACCAGGGTGCCTTCTAGCTTCCACAGGGGTGCCCCAACATTGTCACACCTCTAAAGTGAAAGAGGGCGATTCGGGCTTGAAGGGGGGCTTCTGATGCGAAGAGGGGCTCCTAGCATGAGAGGAGGAGACTCTGATGTCAAAGGTAGGGGCTCCTGATGTGAAGGGAGCTTCCTAATGTAAAGGGGGTGTAACGAGCCCCTGCTCGCTCGGTCCACTCTCCCGGCACTCCTCTGCTACTAATGGATCAGATGTCAGACCGCAACGTCTGATCCTTCGATCGTCAGATAATCCGGGATTGGAACTACAGCTATGTGCCGTTCCAATCCAGCTCAGAACAAACACCAGGCAGGCTGTATGTAAGTTCCAACAGGGATCTGCTTTATTGAAGACTAGCTCAGTATATATACAGTCCAAGAAGTCTAAACACATAACGCAATCAAACATGAACAGCATGCAAACATCCACTCCCCCTCCCCGATGCCTTAATGAATGAATAGGGAGGGAGGAGACACATGTGATGGGATTATCTCCTGAGTGTATCATAGTGTGATTTACTCATCTACACCTGGAGTCAGCTACTCCTAGAATCAGCCATCCTAATCCCATCATTAACACAATACAACAAAAGGACCAATAAACTGTAACAGTTCAATGTCCAGAATTATCCCCCTTCAGTGCTCCTGGAGTCACAGCCTGTACCTATAATACACACAGGGCCATCCAAATGTAATGCCAGGGAACATGTACAGTACATCCCCCCATACATAAACCTGGTAGAATGGTTCATTGTAACCCCAAGAAGTCCGAGGGGGGTCTCCATAGTTCTGGGTCCATAGTCAGTTGGAAGGAGGCTAGCCCCCAGGCTCCTCCAACAGCACCAGTGACGGTTCAGTCCGTCACAGGGGGATTCTGATGTGAAAGTGGGGATTCTGTTGTGAAGGGGGATTCTGTTATGAAGGGGGATTCTGTTGTGAAGGGGGATTCTGTTGTGAAGGGGGTAACCCCACTTTTTTTGTGTTTTTGCACCGGCTCCCCCCTTAAAACCCATACCAGACCCTTATCTCCAAAAACTGTCTAGTATGGATTTTTACATTGTGGTTTTTACATTTCAGGCCGGGGTGCCTCAAGATTTTGTATACTTTTAATGGGTGCTGTGACGGAAAAAAAGGTTGAGAAACGCTGGTCTAAGGTATTTATTCTGCCACCCTCAGGCCCCAGAAGCCAGCGTTTTACTTGCCAAGGACGGTGAGAGCAAATATAAATTCATTTGGTTTTCTATTAGCTGATTTGGTTTATATCTTTCACAATATCATCCATGTTTGTGCTGCCCATTATTTTTTTCTCCTTTGGCATATTATTTTCTCTGACCTTTTATAACAGATCTTGCAATGAGGAATATCAGAAGCGTTGCCAGTAATATTTTAAGGGGGCTGTAGGGAGTTCTGACATGTAAAGGGACTTTAATAGCAGTAATCTCTAATGTAATGTGTCTCCAGTCTCTGACTATCTCCTGTACCATTGCCCCAGTCTACAACCACTCCTGAAGCATGTCTGCAGTCATTGGCCAACTCGTGGAACCTCTCACCATCTATTGTAGCATATCCAGTGTCTGATTTCTATAGCATAACATACAATGAATATTATGTATGGTAATTTGGTCATGTCAAGGGCCACACAGGATGTTCCCCTCATTCAATCCCTGCACTGGCTTCCAATAGCCCAAAGGATAAAATTCTAAATATTAACAACCATTTACAAAGCCATCCACAACTCCGCCCCCGGCTATATCTTCAACCTTGTCTCTAAGTATCACCCTAACCGTCCCCTACGCTCCTCCCAAGAACCCCTGCTCTCTAGCTCCCTTGTCAACTCCTCCCGTGCTCGCCTCCAGGACTTCTCTAGAGTATCTCCCATCCTATGGAACTCTTTACCCGAACCTGTCCGTCTATCTCCCAATCTGACTGCCTTTAGGTGATCCCTTAAGTATATATATATATCTCCCACCCTGACTGTCTTTAGGCGTTTCCTGAAGACTCTTCTCTTCAGGGAAGCCGATCCCACCTCAACCTAACCACTCAACCATCACTTTCTAGAACAATTCATCCCCACACAGCTCCCTCCTCATGTATCACTGCCCCCCCCC